AGAATGATGAAGCGGGTGAGCACCCTTACAACCTATTTGTTTAGCATATTGAACTTCCTGAAAATGAAATTATCATATCTAATACTACGAGATAAGAATGGTGGACAATCATTTCCATGTTTGGAAACTATGAGTAATAAGTCCAGGAAATGTTATTTTCTCTCATTCCCATGTCTGCTTGTGCAGTATTAAAAAGTTCTTCAATTTTCCATCAATACCCTTAATGGGAAGTACCTACCTATGAGTTAGGTATTTCATTCCCAATTGTGCATTTACCAAACATGGGAATGCAATTTCATACACATTCCCAATCTCCTAAACCATAAACCAAATAGGCAGTTAGTTTTTAATTCAAATTATGTTACATATTTGGGACATAATTTCTTGTAATAGTATGGGTAAATTGTCATTTTTCATTGGCCAAAAAACTGTCATTTTTCATGAGGTCAGAGATCATGGAGATGGAAGGTTGGGCATGGCGATGCATTGGTTTGCGGGACGGTTCGGCTTTTCCAATTATTTCTTTTCTTTTGTTTGGTTTCTTTTTAAAAAAATGTGGGCTCGTGTTTTAAGTTTTGTTGGGTTTCTTTGTGACTTTTTGATTTGGGCTTGTTTTAAGAAATGTAATTTCACTTTTATAATTGGCTTAAATGTCGAAATGGTCCATGTGTTTTACCTTATCAGCCAATTTAGTTCCTGTGTTATTAATTTGGCAAATTTAGTCTCTATGTTTGTATTTGTTAACAAATTTGATCATTTCCGTCAAAATTATGTTAAAACCTAAAAAAAGAACACTTAAAATTAATTTAAAAATCTATAATTAATTACAAAGATTTAAACTCAAATAATAATAATGCTAAAATGATTAAAACCCACACAACCTCAACCTCCAATGGTCTCGATTCTTGTAGGAAAAAATAAAGGTTCTTAGTCGAATTGATGCCTACTCTTTTCTTGCTGCAATTTTTCTTCTCTCTTATGTTTTAGATTTTCTTATACTCTACCCTTCATCTTTCTCTCCTCTCAGATCCATTGGCCTGATTGTCATCGACTTTTGCTGCAGCGAGGATGATCAATTGGCGGTAGAGCCATCAAGGTTACGGTGACTAGCTATGAAGATCTTCATGATTTGTTAGAGAGAGAGAGAGAGAGAGAGAGAGAGAGAGAGAGAGAGAGAGTTGTTGTGGTTTAGGTGGGGTTGGAATGTTGGTGAGGGTGGCTATGAGTTTGGGGTTGGAGTGGTGGTGGTGAGGGTGGTTGGGTTTGGGAGGTGGTTGAGGTGTGTGTGTGAAATTGGGGAAGGTGAAATTTTAAAAAAATATATTCCATTTTCAGATTGAATTTAAAATTTTATAATCAATTACAATTTTTTTAATTAATTTTAAATATTTTATATTTTATATTTTTAAGGGAATAGACCACATTGACTAATATATACAAACACAAGGATCAAATTGGCCAAATTGAAAACACATGGACTAAATTGGCCTATGAGATAAAACACAGCGACCATTTTAACATTTAAGTCTTTATAATTTATAGGAAGTTTGAGTCTTGTTTAGTTTGTTGTAAATAGACTTTGAGTGTGTTTCTAAAGTCTGTTAATACACCTTATTAAACAAATTTCCGAATTAGCTTATTTTTCTTGCATACATTGGAGGTGCATTCAAGACACAAATTAATCCCTTAATAATTTGCTTATCAATTAATGTTTGATGTAAGAATTGTAAGGTTT